TGGAAGAAATACCCCTGGAAAAAGGCACTGTCATTCAAGTGCCCCCTGGTAAGGACAATGCTCCTGCCATCCTCCAGACTTGGAAGAGCAAAAAGTTTGGGGGAGTTTAGTTTCATCACGGTGAAGTTCTTGCCCCTAATCCTCTCCTCCAGCCCTGGCCACAGGGCATTTCAAACTTCAAAAAAAATCTACACAAAAAACAGTTTTCAAAAATGCTTTGAAATGACCTCGACACGAATTGACCCTAAAGAGTTTGGAAAAATCCCTTTAATATCCCCATTGCGTAACCTTATAGGTAAGTCTTTTGGGAGGGAGTGACTTCCAGGACTTAAGATTAAAAGGGCATTGTGCAAAGTGGACGAATGCAAACTTTAAGGATGAAACTTTACCCTTGCAAAGCAATTTTCGGCTGTTTGGCAACAGTACAATGACCCTTTTTGTGTCCCACTTCAGACAAATCTTAAAGAAACGCCAGAAACAGAGCTTCTTGACTGTATTTTGTGCGCAAGGGGGCCAGTGGCCTCAAGTTGTTTCCCAGTGCCGTTGTCTTTTAAAAAAAAAAGAAGGGAATAACCCCCGATAAGGACTTCATACCTGTAGTCCTAATGGAAGGAGATTCTCCTTCCAAAAAAAAAGTGTACCCTTCTTTCCTATCCCTCCTCCCGTCTTCCATCCACCCCGAAGCTTCAGTAAAGGTAAGTGTAAAGTTTTATTATTTTTTTAAATGCTGTACGTGATTTTTGATTTTTTTCATTTTGTAAAACTTTTTAACTTGAAAAAAAAAATATTTTATTTTAATATTTTTTTGGTGTCTGAACGAATTAATTTTATTTCCATTTTTCTTATTGGGAAAAAGGTTTCATTTCGAATTTTTACTTTCGGGAGGCTCTCTGGAACAGATTAATCACGAAACCAGGGGTCCACTGTATTGAAATTTAAAAAGGGAATATTTTTTGGGGAAAAAAATATTAAAACCAAAAAGGGTGTTAATGGTTTTAAAAGACTTAATTGATTTTTTTGACTGGTTTTTTTAATCTTCGGAATAATTTCCTTTTTCCCTTTTTCATAAGTTTTTTAAAAAAATAAAAACCCGGGGAAATCAAAAAATTTGTCTTTTTTAACTTTTTTTTTTAAACACACTCCCCTTTCCCCCAAAGGCAAATGGCCAAAAAAAAAACTTTACCCTTTCCCCCACCTTTTCCAAAAAGGGTGCTTTAACCCGTTTTTAAACGCAACATTAAACCCTTTCGGGGGGCAGGCCTGAGTTTTTTCCCATCCAACTCCAAAATCCCCGGCCTGCCGGTTTCCCCCCGTTTCCCTAATAAATTTACTTTGCTAACCCCAAAACACGTCAAATATTAAAAACCCCTTTGTCTCCTTCCCCCAAAACAAAAACGCTCACACATGTCGGGGTAAGCCCCTCGAACAAAACCCTTTACCCCCCCCAACCTTTCCCCTTAAGGGGCCCGCCCCCTTTCCCCCCTTCCTTCCCCCCTAAACTATACCTCCAATCATTCTGTTTTTTCCATTCTCTCTAACCTGTCCAACCACCCCAACCCTTTACCCCTACACATTTTTGTAATCCCACCTCCTCCTAACTTCCAAACTCTAATTCTTCAAATTTTTTCCCAACACATTTCCCCAGAAAGACACTCCACTGTACCTTTCTCCTCACTGAACATTTACCTCTTCAACCCAATAAAATTTTAAACAAAAACCCAACATTCCCCCCTTTTGGGGCCCCCAAAAAATTCTTTTCTCCACAACTCCCAATGGGCCCCACAAAAAAATTTTCCCCCTTTTACCAATTTCTATATTCACCTCACTTTTTAGCCCATCCCGACAACCCACTTCCAAATTCATACATTTTCCTCCAAAATTTCCCCCTCGCCCTTTTCCAATCTTTCCTTATAATTTTTTGGGATCCCTAACCTTTTACCTTTCCTGTATTCCTTTTAATTTTTTCTTTTAATACCCTACCAAACATTTTCCACCAACCTAATTTTTCAGAAAATTTCCCAAGGCAAGTGCCCCAAAAGAAAACGGGAAATTTCCCCCCTTTATTTATTCTTTTTCTTTAACCAGCCTCTTGCCAAACCCCCGCTTTACCCTTCAACCCCCTTTAAAAAATTTAACAAACCCCAAAAATACCACCTTTCTAACATTTTACATAAATTTTTTCCCCCTTTCAATTATAGCCTCACATCCCAAAAAACCTTCACTCTTTTAGAATACCTTTCCCTTTTTCATAAAAACCTCCCCATCTCCAATTCCCCTTCCCCCCCGTATCCCTTTTCCCCCAAATCCTAATCCAAAAAACTCTTCCTTATTTTTATGCAAATATTTGTTTCCACTTCAACTGGTCCACAACCCCCTATTTCCAAAAAATTTGTTCATCTCACCAATTCTCTTTCTTCTTTTAAAATTCTTTCTTTTAATCTCTCCATAACTTTACCATTCTCCAACTTTTTTTATTAATTTTTTTATTTTCACATCCATTCCCACCAAGGCATGGCCCCCGAAAAAAGAAAAAAAAACAACTTATCCCCTTTAAATTTTGCACTTTCTTTTGCCCCTTTCCTTTTCAAAGGAAAAATCTCCTCTGCCTCCCTAGTTTACCTTACCCCTTCCCTACTTTATTTAAAAATTTCCCAACCACTCCAAAAAACTGTATCCCCACGTGCTTTTAAAAAATTTCATCTTTTATCCCCAATTTACTCCTTAAAAAAACCCCTTTCATTTTAACCTTTTGTACATTTTCCCCCCTAAAAAGGTTTCCCACCCTACAAGAGTTATTCCTTTCCTTCTTTAAAACAAATTTAACACACCCCCTATTTCTCAAAATTTAACAATTCCCCCCCAAAATATTCCCCATTTCCCAATTTCTTAATCCATTTTAAATAAACTCTCCTCTCTTATTTTTCTTCCCAAATCCATTTTTTTTAGCCCAAATTTTAACCCCTCCAAAAATTTTTCTTTTTTCCAACAAAATTTGTTTTAAAACATTCAAATTTTTTTTCTCCTTTTTAATTTCTTCCCATTCTTTCCTTCCTTTTTCTCCAATACCTTTCCCCCCCTTTATCCTTTATTTTTAAAAAACCCTTTTAGAAATTTTTTTTCCCTTACACCCTCTTTCACTTTTTCCACCAATTTTCCCCTTCCCTCCCGCACCCCTTTTTTTGTTCCACAAAAATTTTCCGCACATAACACCATTTTTAAATTTTCCCCATAAATTTAATTGAGTTCTTAAACCCATTTCCTCCCTTTTTTTACCTTTACCCAAGCCCCCTTCGAAAATCTTTCCCCTTTTTTCCTGATCTTCTTTCTTTGAAAAACAAACCCCAATTAGAAAATAAAAAGTGTCTGTAATTTTGGCCCCAAAAATTAATGAAGTCACCAAATCCCCTTTTTTACAAATAAAAACCAAAAAAAAACTGATTTCCCCCCAACAAACTGTAAAACATTTAATTTCTTTTTCTTAAAATTTAACCTATAAAATAATTTTTTTACCCAAGTTCAACAAAGGGGCCATTCCATTTAATGGAAAATTTATAAATTTAAAAGGGTTTTTTCTTTGCTTAGGCCCCTAAAATATTTTTCCCTTGGTTCAAAGGTTTTAATTATTAAAACTTCAAAATCTCCCCTTCCCTTTTTTTGTCTTTAGGTGATAATGTTTTTGACCCCCTTTTTCACCAAACCTTATTTAATAATATCCTTTAATTTTTCAACAATTTTTCTTTTTTTATAATGCCTTAAATTTTCTTTTTTGCTTAAATTTTTTCTGAACTCGATTTAACCCAAATTTCCCCCCAAATCCCTGCCCCTTGTTGTTTGCTTTTTTGGGGGGACATCCAAAAATTTTTTCATTATAAATCAGAATTCCTTTTTTTGTCATCCACATAATCCACGCCCTTCAAGCATTTAGTTTTTTAAAAGTTTTTCTTCTTTCCTTTTTTTATTTAATTTTTTAGGAGAAAAGGGGTTCAGCCCTTCTCCCGATTTTAAGTCACCTTTTGACACCATGGCTTCGGAAAAAGGGTTCTTTTATTAATGGGTTTTTTTGTTTTTTTTTTGGGAAAACCCATTTAAAAAAAAAAGAAAAAGGGGTTTTTAGGGAAATAGATTTTATATAGTCATGTCTTTAAGTGGACCAAATGAAAATTTTGGGTACCAGATATCCCGTTATTAGGTTTAGAACAGAAAAAGGCAAGCAATCCTACCTCTTTAAACATTTTTTTCTTTTTAAAATTTGGGGAAAGTAGTATTCCGGGTGGTTGCTGTCTACCAAAAATTCTACCCTAAAGCATGTTGCATTTAAGGTTGGTAGGGATTTGGGGGGGTTATAGGTGTGTATTGTTCTGTGCAGGTAGGCCCAAAGAAAAAGTTGAATGGTTTTTTTGGGACAATTTTTCTTTTGAAAATTTTTTTGTTTGCTGTCGGGGAGTGGTTTTTTTCATTTGAATGTGTTTTGTGGGGGATTTTTGAGGTTTAGTGATTTAGTTTTTATCCCCATAAAAATTTCCCCTATAAAAGGGTATATGAGGGTTTAATGGTGAGTCAAAAGGGGAGCGATTTGTGGAAAATTTAATTACCTTCTTTAATATCTTACAGTTTAGAATTTTTTCTTTATTTCTTATTGTATTAAACTTGGTAATGTAAGGGGGAACCCCGGAATTTTCCCCTCTGAAGTCTTTGATTTGGTGATTTGTTAATTTTATGTTTTAATGGAACAAAAATTTCAAACTTTTTTAAATGAAAAAAATTTTTCCCAAAACATATTTTTTTTCACACCAGGCAGAATTTTCTGCATTCCATTGAAAATGTTGGGATTGATGGTTTGGGGGGGAAGAGTTTAGGTTATTTTTAAAGGGTTTATAGCTTGATGCATTTTTGGTAATCTTTTTTAATGAAAAGAGGATGGTCCAAAGAACTTCAGATAGAGTTTTTCGGGGTGTTTTTCATATCACCTTTATATTATGTAATCTATTTTCATAATACAGGTACCATCTGTCTTACAACCGAGCTTGGTTCTGACCAACTGGTCGAAAGTCAAAATGGATGTAAGTCGAACCTTTGAAGATTGCAGACATACTGGGTAGGGCATAATGTCAAGCCTTTGCTATATAAACTACCTACATAGTACTACTGTATGTAATGTACAATCATTATTTCATTCTTTTTATCATAATTTACTTCTATTGATATATTTTAATCATTTGTGTACTGTATACAGTGGACCCTCGACAAACGATATTAATCCATTCCTGAGAGCTCATCGTTAATCGAAATTATAGTTAGTCGAGTTAATTTTCCCCATAAGAAATAATGGAAATCAAATTAATCCGTGCAAGACACCCAAAAGTATTGAAAAAAAAAAATTTTTACCACATGAAATATTAATTTTAATACACACAAACTGAAGAAGACATGTACAATTACATGACACTTACCTTTATTGAAGATCTGGTGGATGGATTGGATGGGATGGTAGGAGGGGAGACTGTGGATGGTGTTAGTGTTTAGAAGGGGAATCCCCTTCCATTTAGGACTTGAGGTGTCAAGTCCTTTTCCGGGGTTACTTCCTTCTTCTTTTAATGCCACTAGGACCAGCTTGAGAGTAACTGGTCCTCTGTCGCACAACATATCTGTCCATAGAGGCCTATACCTCCCGTTCCTTTATGACATTCCTAAAGTGTTTCACAACATTGTCAGTGTCACAATTAAACACTTGTTCAGGTTTCAATTCTTCACTGTCTATGTACCCTTGAATCTTGCACATATTTTTCAGCTGCTTTTTGTCCAAACTGGCAGCCTCATCCATTCCTTATCACACTATGTATGCCACTACAATTCTTAACCCATAAACGGTCCGAACGTATATATACGTTTTTTACCGCTAGTGCCCCAAACATAATGTATACGTTTTATGTGTCATACATTTTACATTGCCACACTAAGCCTGAGTTGCCTAGACATGAGAGAATGGGTGTGAGCACTCACTGTGTGCCATATTAAATAATTGGGGATGCCTGGGTACCATATGGTCTTTTTTCCTATTAAAAAACAGCAATTTTTTTTTTCTCCAAAGTTGGGGCAGTACGGTAGTGAACGTATTTATATGTTTGGACCGTTTATGGGTTAAATCTCTCAAACCAACCTTTGCTGGCCTTAAATTCACTCACATCACTAGTTGCAGGCATTTTTCTAATTAAATCCTCATGCAACTCCTAGCCTTTTCACATATGATCACTGAGAGATGCTATCTCCTGCTATCTGTTTTTCGTTTACCCACACCAGTAACAGTCTCTCAACATCTTCTATCACTTGCGATCTCAGTTTTGAAAATTTAGTTGCACCTTTGGCAAGAACAGCTCCTTGATTGCCTTTTTTCTTGGCCACAAGAGTAGCGATGGTTGATTGTGGTTTTGTGTAGAACCTGGCCAGCTCGGAGACACGCACTCCACTTTCATACTTAGCAATGATGTCTTTCTTCATATCCATAGTAATTCTCACCCTTTTGCTGTAGGGTTGGCACTAGAAAGCTTTCTTGGGGCCCATGGTGACTTATTTTGCAGGTGCAATCACTAAAAACGCTGTGATAATATGAAATGTTCCGATTGTATGTTTGGATGGGACCGAGGTGGCTGGCTGGCTTGTAAACACTGGCCACAAGTGGGCGCATCTCAGACGGAACGAATCTGTTTGGTCGAGTTTTTTAGCGCTAGTTGAGGCAAAATTTTTTGCTTTAAAAAATGTATCGTAGTCATTTTTAAAATTTAGATGATCCCATCGTGGTCGGGGTCCACTGTACTAGGTAGTAGGTTTGGGAGACACAACCACCCAGGGGGGGTACACCGTCCTGCCAAGGGAAGGTGAAAAGAAAGCCCGTAATTGTTTTACATGATGGTAGGATTACGGTGTCTTTTGTCGTCTCATAAAAATGCAAGATTTCAGGTACGTCTTCTATTCTACTTGCACTTAGGTCACACTACACATACATGGCATTTTTTTTATACACATATCTGAGTTTTCTTTGGTTTATTTAAAAAGTTCTTGGTTTTATTACTTTTTCCCTTTTTTAAACCATGGGGAAGTGGGAAAGAACTTTCCCCCATAAGCCAGCTGTTGTAAAAGGCAAATAAAATGCCCGGGAACAATGGGTAGTAGCCCCCTTTTTTCCCGTCATAATTTTAAAAATAAAAATAGAAGAAAATTGTCAAAGTGGGGAAATCTGAATGTGCGGAAGTTGTGCAAATGATAAGAAAGAGATGATTGTGGATGTTTGAATGAGAAGAAGCTGGAGTCCCGGCTTTAAGTAAAAAAAGTAAAGGGTTTGGGAGAGTTTCAGTGGAGGGGAATAAATGGGATTAGGTCGGGGTTTCAAATGAGTTAGAGCTAAAAAAGGATAGCAAAATGTTAAGGATAAGTTATGGCAGGAAAAGGGGATACAAAGTTTAATTAAAGGATTATGTGGGAGTAAAATAAAGATTGGTGCGAAAAGGGGGTTATAGTAAGCGATATGCCCTGAAAAAGAGAAAAGGTGAGGAGAGAGAGAGAAAAGGGAATTTGGGGGAAAGTTGGTGAATGCGGGGGGGGTTTTGAACCAAAGTGGAGAGTAAGGGGTTTGGGGATTTCAATGCAAAAGGGGAAAAAAATGTTGTGGAGGGAGTAGTAGGTAAATTAGGGGTGCCAGGGGTAAATGAAAATGGGGAGCCTTTAATTGAGCTATGTGTAAAAAGAGGTTTGGGTATTAAAGTAATACATTTTTTATGAAAAAGAGGATAAAAAAATATACAAGGTATGATATAGCCGTAAAAAAGTAGTTTGTTGATTATGTATTGGTGGTAAAGGGTTTGATGGGTGGGCTCCGGGAAATTACACGTTTATAGAGGGGCAACGAATATCGATAGAGGAAACAGACGTCGTGGTTCTCAAACTAACCAGAACCAGGCTCATTCTTCCAATTCGGGAAAATTCGAGCGCCCCAGTCAAACCGTCCCATTGTGACAGTAGGTGATAATGAGCACCCCCCCCTTCACAATTCCTTTAAAGCCTTTAAAGCAGTCTCGGAATGACAACTGCTGATGTTGCTTCACATGACGTAGATGTTTTTTGGGGATGAAGGGGAAAAAATTTTTTCGATGACAATCCCCCTTTTTGTTGCACATAACTTCCCAAAAGAAACCTGGGCCTATGTGAAAGCTCTGTTCATAGTGCCCCCCTTCTTTGTTCTGGGATTTTGGGTGCGCAAGCAATATTATCGGGTCTAGTTTGTTTAGGGATAAGCAGTTACAACTTGTCCTTCTCGTGAACCGACCACTGTCCCCCCTTTATGGGTAGCGGTTTCACTCGGTCCGGGGTCAGACTTCCCTCCCCCTTTTTTTAAACCAAGGTAGAGATTTACTGTTTCCCTTTCCCTTGTGTGACCAGATTACTTTCCCCGGGGACCTATGGGATTTGTTTCCGCGAGACTTAGCATTGTGCTGACCCTTATCGATGGTGCCCAAATTGATGCTTGATGTACCATTTTGGGGTTTAACCAGCTTGGATCGAGATCTGCATTTGCCGCAGAGTACGACATTGGGATTAAGTCCTAAGGCCTTGCATTTTCCAGTAGGTACCCAAGCGGTCGGCACTTTTTTCCCCGTCACTCCTGTCTGTTTCCTGCAACTTCAGGCTTGCAAGATAGGCCCAAAATTACCTCAAGTGTCTGAGGATGCTCTGCTACTTGAGGCTGAGCCTATCCCTGCAATGTCTGCTAGTTCAATAGTATTTCTCCACAGGGGACCCCTTTTTTTGGAAAACGATTACTTGCAATAGTAATCCATCTCTTGTTTATGTCACAAAGCCCTCTGCAGAAAGACATTTTTGCCACTAGTGCCCCCTGGGTCTGTTGTTGTTCCTAGTGTTTTCCCGATGGTGTAAAGTCCTAGTTGACAGTGATTCTTGCAAAGTAAAAATCTATTTTTTGAACCACCTTTTCATTTTTTAAAAGATAGTAAGATCCATTTTTTTCCAGCAAAACTTTGGTCACAGGTTCGTCTCAGAGCAAATCCCCCTTGTTGACCTTGTTCACTTCCTTATCTGTTCAGGGAAGGATGAGTTGTCACCTGACCCGGGGTCGGGTTTTTCTATTCTCGGGGGACCCATCCACTTCACTGGAAACAAACTGTTCCACCCCTTTAGGGGAAAGATTTGCTCCCCGACTTCCCCGTGAGGTAACGTTTGTTGACTTGTTGAAAAAACGTGGTAAAACCATTCCTTACCAGGTAGAAATGGTATAAAGAACTTATTTTCCCATCGTATTCCCCTGAACCCGGGACTGACCCATCTATATCCCCCGCGTACGAATGCCTCATTCAAAGTTGCTGTCGCAGAAGAATTGATCAATCAATGCTTTATGAGGAGTTATTGCACCTAGCAATTCACCTTGGAATGTGCCCCCGTCCAGTACCTAAAAGGATGGTACTTGGCTCCCCGTGATTGGCTTTTGGAAGTTAAATTGAAAAACTATTCCAGTCGCTTCCCACTTCCTGTACTGGGGGATCTTTTACCAACTCGGAAAAAACAAAGTCTTTTCAACGTGGATTTTTTACAAGGGGTTTTGGCAAACCCCCTTCATGAGGAAGCCCAAAAGCTAACTGCTTCTCCACTCCAAGGCATTATCACTTCCCCCCAATGGCCTTTTGGGTTTCAATCCCCCCCTATCACGTTCTCAAGGCTCATGACTAATATTTTGAGGTTCATAGGTAATGCACTTATGGGGTATTAGATGACTAATCGTCATGTCTAAAAATGTGGATACACACTTGAAAAAAACTTGTGTAGACTTGGGAAGCTTGAAGAAGCCATTTAAAGATCAAAAATGTCTAAATGCAATTTTTCAGTCAGAAATAAGTTTTTTTTGGGCTGTAGTCACTCCAAGGGGGTTCACTGACCCAAAATAAAGTAACTGCAGTCTAAAAATTTTTAACTCCCAAAAAATGCTGATGCCATAAAATCCTTTTTGGGTTAGCAGGTTTTTATAGATCTTTCTTGCCAATTTTTTTTTTCCATAGTGCTCCCTTTAACTGAGTTGCTTAGAAAAATGTT